AATTTCAAGTCTTATTATACTTTCAGACTATGAGCAGGTGAGCAGGCATACGAAAGTCATGTGAAGTATACTGGAATATGGTGGTTATTTAATGGGGAAAGTCTTACGGCACAGTATAGGTAAAAATCTTAGAGAATCATGTTCATTGAAAAGCAATCACACTGGCTTTATCCAACAAAGGAAGTGAAAACGTCAGGGTTACTTCCAGTCTGTGGAATCACAATAATGCCATTTACAGGTTTTTGTGGTTACCACTACTGAATAGAAATGGTGACATTGACTGGCATGGGTTTGTAGTTATGCCCTGTAGAGTACAGACTACATTATACATATTTTTAAGATTATTGTCTCTAAATCAAGTGATTTTAATGAGTCCTGGTTTCTAGATGCCTTTATATAGGAAACAGTGTTAAAACATAATACCCATAGAATATATACTAAATGCCTAAAGCACTAAATAAAATGTGTGTAGTTTAGTAATAATAGCTGGAAAGTATATTATGGATTGATGATGTATTGCTAATATGACTAATTACTATTTTGTGTTTAAATGTTTCTCACCCATTAAAAATCCACACATAAAAATAATCAGGTCATAATAGCACTGCCCTCCTTGTAGACTTTTTTCCCCCTGGGAATTAATGACTAAATGAAGTTAAAGCACTCAACTCCTACAAATTATGATTAATTCCTAGGAACTATTATGACATTACCTTGTTTTATTACTTAATGGTCAAAAAAGATCACCTCACTAAATTGTTGTGTACATTTGAATCAGTGCTTCTGAAAGTAATTGAATAGTATATTGCTTTCGTTATATTAGTGTCAATTAGCCCAGTGTTAAGCAATTCCGAGCCCTTTTCTCCTTTGGTATATGATAGCCAGAAAAAGATTTTAAAAATATTACTCAAATTACTTGACAAGTTCAGCAGTGTCAAAGAGCCTTCTCCTTTTTTAACATCTCAGCATTAATGTGAGAACATACCACATGAAAATTTAATTTGAAAACCTATCATTTACATTTTGAAAGAAATGCATGGAAATTCTTGACTTATGTCTCACTTCCCTCATTTTGCCAAGTGATAAAATCTGGCACATTGTACCCCAAGTCATGCATTATTACCTAGTGCAGGTTTACAAAACCACTAAATCACTTGCTGTGTTATTCAGGGAAATATCATTATACTGGCACAGAAACAAGCCACAAACTAGAAGATGTTTTACTGAAATAAATCAAATACAAGTCTGCCTACTGGCAGATTTTTTCCGAGGCGGAATCAAAATAGAGCTAAATGGACATGAAGCCTAATTTGAGTTGAGGATATGACAGGATGTCCACGTTACTTGATATGATAGGCAATTGGACTGTTTGCAAATGTCTATCAACTCACTAATGAGATCACAGGCTCAACATGGGTGGGTTTATAAACAAGCTCCATCTTCAGAGCAAGACACACATTTAGAATCACTGACATATAAAAGGGCGTTCAATGAGACCATTCAAAACTTCTAGCAATTTGAGAGGCCTCAAATCATGGAAATTTAGTTCCTTCTATAACTTTTAGATATGTTGAAATTAAAGTAGTTAAGTGTGCACAATTAAGTGATAAAAAAGCACAAGGGGAAAAAAAGACAAAAACAAAAAAACAAAACAAAACTCTGAAAAGTTGGATGATATAGCCAAAGATATTTAAATAAGCTAACCTTTTACTTGAATGAAATTTTGAAAGCCCCATATCAAAAGGCTTTTTTCCTATGTAGTAGAGTTAGAGTAGTGGTGTTTCTCTGAGTCTCTACCTACCATGGGACTCAATCTTCTAATAATAACATGAGGCCTAACTGAAGTGTGGGTTGAAGTTATGTATTCATCAACACCTGTTTATAATATTGCTATTTGGCTTAAATTATAATGCAAAAAAAATTACTATGATTTCCACTTAAAGAAGGGTTTGGGTATAGAGATTCAAGCAGTAGGAAAAGTAATGATTTAGGAAGGGAATAAATTGGTATGCATTGTGTATAGCATGTAGTAAGAGAAGACTGCTGGAAAGAGCCTCACAAAAGCACTATTTTCTCCTTTCCACTCCTCCTTTCCAATAACAGTTGAAAATGGCTACACAAATGTCCTCATAAAACTCCAAGGCCAAGCAGGACACTTCTGGGCTAAATTCTGGGCTACGGCAGCACATGGGTTTCTGGTGCTTTGTGAATGGTGAAGAAGAAACCTTGAGAATTCTCTGTGACAGATTCTAATTCTCATCTGTTCCCTGTAGGTGCGTGCTAGTGCGATTGCCCAGGACGCTGATCAGAATTACGACTACGCGAGTAACAGCGTGGTCCTGCATTTGGAGCCAGGAGATGAAGTCTACATCAAATTAGATGGCGGGAAAGCCCATGGAGGAAACAACAACAAATACAGCACATTTTCTGGATTTATTATCTACGCTGACTGAGAGTGAAGACACTAAGCTTAGGATTCTGAGTTTGGACACTGGATTCGCGTGGCTAACGTCTGTGCATCAAGGATCCCAGGGGAATGCCAGTTGTGGGGCACCTCAGTGGTGTATGTGTGGGGCATTCGAATGCTACCTGACTCACATCTGTATACTCAGAAACATTATGTAAAAAAAAAAATATATATATATATATATATATATTAAAAGCAAGATAAGCAGATGTGTGATCCACTACCGCCAAAGCAAATACTCCTTATCGTTAGTGTCCATGTGAATGAAGTCCTATATAGATCACAAATTTTTATAGAAAAATCTAAGACACTGAATTATTTCTTCAATATATATGATCCTTTGGTGTACCGTGATCCTGCTGCTGTATCCATGTCAGCTTTGGTTCTTGTGAGTGTACCTACTTATTATGATACTTGGAGTCCGACATTCATAGCGTGGGGGAGGAATGATTTTTACCCTGCAGAAGGTCTAACGAAATAATGCTGCTTGTCCCCAAAGAAACGGTTTGCCTTGTACCCTTGTTCACTTTAGAGCTAGACCTGGGAATGATTCAACTTCAAGCCTTAACCTGGAATTTTCTGGATGTGAGGGAATTCCCAAGCCTGTGATCATTTTCCCGTTTTGCTTTTTCTTAGGAACTTTTCTTTTCTCTCTTTTCTGGTGATAGTCTTTACCACGGAGGTTGAACTTGTATCATAGGATTACCCTATAAGTGTGAAAATGTGTAATTATGTACGGTATTTAGAAAAATCGCTTATGTGTCCATGTTGTCAATAGAATGCATTTAGGTTTACTTGGGAAGTCAGAGAAATTTATTCTTTAGTGTTAAATCAGGCTGAGGCTTTTGCCTTCTTTGGAATAGAAGATTATTCATAACCCAATGCACAGGTTTAATTTGAGCTACTGCATGAGTCACCAAGGGGACACCAAGTTAGGGCTTCAAATAGTTACTTACTGGATGCTGTGGCCTGAGGCTATTCCAAAACGAACAATGTCACATACAACTAATACGACAACCAAGTGTATATATTTTATACAAATACCTGCTACATGTATGTGTGTGTACGTGCGTATAGATATACACATATACACATATACACATATACACATATATATGTTAGAGATGAAATATGTATGTGGCTTCAGCCCATAGGCACAGTGGCTGGTATAGCCTCAAGATTTAATTTTTAAAAATGTACGTGTATACACAAACACCAACACACACAAATTATTTGATTTTGGATTGAAATATATTTTGGATGGCAAAAAAATAAAGAGAGTAGCAAAGTAATTTAAATGACTTCTCTTTTAAGAGTTATCCAGAAAATTAAATTTTATTCGGTTAAAATGCTGTGCACATCACATGTCTGTAAATTAAGCCTATGGCTTCTCTATTACCCTCTGCCAATCAATACTTTTCACTGCATTCTGTGGCCGACTGTTAATACTAGACCTGCTGAAACAAAGTGGTTCTTCTTTCCAATGTCTATGAATTATATGCATTTGAATTATCAATTTTTCCTTGTTTTTTTCTCAGGTGGATTGAAGCTGACAGTAAAGTAGAATTTTGAGAGCACTGCAAATCCGTTCTCTCTGGTTAAAATACACTGCCAAAAGCCAAATCTTTAAATCTAAGAAAAAAATTAAAAATGCATCTTGATAGATCCTAACTATCCGACAACTTCCACTATTACAATGAAAAATCTGTTCTCCTCTCAGCTGCCTTTGAAGACTCTTTGACAAGTAGATTTCAAAAACTGAGAGTTAAAAATCTGCTTGTTTTAGTGGTGAAAGATATTTGCATTTTTTTCATTTAAAGGAATTAGTCTGTTCTCCTGGCTCATTTCTCTTGGGTTCTTTCTGTTCTGATGCACAGGAAGCTTGATCATCTTTGCGCCTCAGAAATATCTTTTATTTAGCACACCTCACCTTTCCAGAAGAGTTATGCATGGTGTTCCCAACTGAAGGGCCTGTTTGCTTGGTTTAAATGCCTTTGTCTGAGTAACTATCATGATTTATATGGTTAAAAACACTTAGCCCATTCACCAAGAATAATGACTAATTCTATTTGGCCTTTCTAATGTGTAAGATAACTCATAAAGGACTTGCAATGGATTTTTTTTTCTGTTTAACAGTATATACTTATTAACAAGGGTTTGGAGATTTTTTTTTTTTTGGTAACAGTATAGTGAACATTCAGCCAAAAGATTCATCTTTAAACAGCAGTGCATATCAATGGAGAGTTTCAACTAAGAGTTTTTTAAAAGGCTTTATTTACAGAAAACATCAGGGCTGTATATCTTTTAAAGAGTAGGCCCTAGAATCAGAGTGTCATTTCTAATAGATCTGACCTTTTCTTCCAATAAATAAGCATAATTTTCTCTGTTTAGGCCCAAGGAAAAACAAAGAAAAGGTAAAGGAAATAAAGGGAATATATATATATATACATATATATATGGCAAACATTTTTTTTTTCAATTAAACATTATTAATTAAATTGTGGCCTTTGTTATTATAAATGTAATGATTCATTAAACTATATTATGTAATATATTTTGACTTTTATGATTGAATTTTTATAATTCAGTAATATGTTCCGTGTTCGTGCCCCCTTATACAAATTTTTCAGAATACAACAAAATTTAGAGTAAAAAATGCATACCAGAAAGACAGAGGCAACACAACTGGTTTATTACAAGTATATATAGATAGGTGGACAGCATGTAATTAACCTTCCACGATATGGGTACCATTGTGAATTGATTGGTAATTGTCTTACAGTATCTGTTGAAAAAAAAAGTTTCAAAATTGAACTTCACTTGCTGCAGAAGCTATTTTAAAGTGCCATATTATTCATTAAACATTAATTAAAGAACAGCAGGATAATTAGTAGGATCATCAATATTACAAGAAACATTAGATTGCTCCAGGAGGGCGTAATTTAACTAGAAACACTTTAAATTTTCCTAAGTAGTGCAGCTGACAGATTAAGAAAACAAAACAAACTCCACTAAAGGGACATAGACTGTAAATCGTTGTTTGGAAATAGGTACTTCTGTATTTATTTTGTTAAGGCAAAGCAGCAGGGCTCCATGAGGCTCAATAACTTCCAGAAGATACAGGTGTAATAGCCAGTCTCTAAGCAGGCAAAACTCCTAATTCTCATCAAAAGGAAATGATCCATCATTAGTCCTACTTAGCTCTGATTAATATCTCACAGTGAGGCTGAAATCACTGAGAAGGTTCTCTTTAAGCTTTATACACAAGGTGTGAATTCATAACCATCCTATTTGAAAGTTAGCCATTGCTTAGGGTTCTCTATTAGTATCTTATCAAGCGCATTCTCGGTGATACCCCTAAACAACATTCTAGGAACAATGTTGGTGAGTATATGAGAATAGCCGTGACCTCCATATTTCATCAGCCGATGCTTCGTGTGTATGTCATGTGCCATCAGAATTCGATCTCCATAGCCTTCGTCCACCAGAAAACGCACCCTGTGAAAAAATGTTAACTCATTATATGGCATTTGTCTCACATTTACAGTTCTCGGGGTGCTTTAAACTTCTTACTCATGAACCTATTGTGCTCGCCATAAAGATACCACCTTCCCCTGTGGCATGTGTCCAGGGAGACCCTTAATAAATATCGTGTGCTGATGATAAAGATATTGCTGTGTTGTGGTAGGAATGTGATCTTTATTCCATGCGCACAGAAACTTGGAACCTGTGATATTTATAACAATGCCTGGCAATACTGCATCAAAGAGAGCTTCTAACAGGAGCTGCCCATTTGAATGAATGGCATTTCACTGAATACCTTTGTTCTGCCTTTGTAGCCATCTCTCCACTCTAAAATGTCTCTCGTAGTGGGCCCATTTTTCAGATCTCATTTTCTCTCCTTTTTTCCTAGCACATAACATCAATGATTATTTGTGATTAAAATGGGAAACGAAAGGAATCTTCGTAGAAGTAAAAAATTCTAGGAGTGGAGTCAGCTGGTTTGAAAATGAAGGGCATATTGATAAGCTAGGCAGTGATTTTAAAAAGGTCAGCAACGGTACCTTTGTATTTTGAGCATTTGTCCCTTTGAAGTCTACGGGAACTTTGACTTACTCTTGGAGCATTTGGTGGACCAATAAAAATTTACTCTCCCCTCCTTCCATTTCAACAAGATTGTTATAAATAATGAGCTGTTCCTTTAAATGTATGGTCAGTTGACTAAAGAAGGGCTTTGCTATTGTCCAAATGTCGAATCCTCTTTGCTTTGTTAAATGCTGTAACCTGTAGTGTGCGTCACCTCCTGACAGCCACCATCTGTATGTGTCTGACTCTGGGCAGTGTCTGTCGTGACTCCCATGGGTCTCTGATGGCAGGTGATGCCACTTGGAGACAGTGGCTCATCTGTGGTATTTGCTATATCATCTTGTCAGACTCTAGATTCTCAAGTGGATCTAGGAATCCTTTTTGTTTCTATAGCATTTCTTGACATTCTAATGCATGAGTCATTTAATAGCTACTATAGTAAGCAAAATGTGGGGGGTGCTACCCAAAAAACTCAAACACAAAGCCCTGCCCTCTGAGAACATACATTTTAAAATAAATTATAATTGAAGATTAGGTCTCGTGTTTGCAAGTCAAAGGGATACAGGTGCCAGAGAAGAAGACCCAACCCAGGCATTTTGTCTGAAACTCTGCATTCATGTCACATGTACCCCGTGCGTGTCCCATAAGCACATGGAATGCTAATTGTGCCACCACCGTTCTTTGCCTCCTTAAAATTTGTGTAATGTCTAAAAGCTCTGACCTGAAGTTATCTTTGGAACAAACTCTCTTTCTGGGAATTAACTAAGAAAGTTATGGGATCATTTACGAAGAAGAGAAAGAGTTGACAGAATGAATACATGATACTGAAACTCAGTGTGACAAACCTTGCTCCACAACTGAAAAGGAGTATCACATTACAGGAAATTTTAGGGTACACTTTCCCCCTTACATCTTCTGCGCATTCCCCCCATGTTTTTGTCTCTTTGAGAAAAAAAATGATAATCTCATTACTACAGAGGCATAGCGTATGGATAAACAAATTCCTGTCCTTATGTCATACTGTCCTTATGTCCTGTCCTTATGTCCTGTCCTTATGTCATACTGTCCTTATGTCCTGTCCTTATGTCAAACAAATTCCTGTCCTTATGTCATACAAAAGACCTTATGTCATACCCTGAAACACAAAGTTCTTGTGAAGTAAGTAGCATGGAAAGATTATAATGGGAAGGACGCTCATAGGAAAATGGGAGCCCTTAGAACTCATTAAGTCAAGAACCTGGATACTAGGAATCTCACGAGAAAGATAATATGATATGGCTCTAGACACAATTAGATCCAGGCTATCAAGAAAACTGCCTGGTCACTCCTACAACGAGATCGCCTCTCAGGCTGTGCCATGCCACCGGAAGGAACCACTACAGACGAGAAGACAAAAAAAAAATCGCAGTAATTATAGAAATACAAATTAGTTAGTGTTTTGCAAACAAATATTAGAGAGACTGCCAAGTGTGAAAAGGCAGAGATATAATAAGATTTGAGAAACGGAGCATAAGATTGAAAACAGGTGTTAGACACAGAATTTCTGGTGCTGAAAACCAGAGGTAGGCAGAAACGTGCTTGTATGCTATTGCACTTCAGAGCTTCAAGACTACTAGGGCTTAGGAAAGGACTGGCAATGAATGGAGGACATCAAGTGCCCAAGAGGCGAGGGACAAGCGTGCTGGGGCACACACAACCCAAAGGTCATTCAGTAACTACTGTGAGCTGTACCTGAGTCAAATAACCTAATACCTGGTTTTAATTTAAGGAAGATTAGGTATACATACATACACACACACACACACACACACACACACACACACACACACACACATATAGGTATACATAAACACACACGCATATATATACATAAACATACACACACACACACATATATATATAAATATGTATTTCTGTACATCTAGAATGTTTACATTTGATACAATGAAAGCTGACAAAATTAAATTCTTGTTCTTGAATAAATAACCAAAAGGAGCTAAGAAAAAATACTGGGGGAGCTGTTGTTTGCCCCCCCATCCCCTTCACAGATTCCTCCTTTGCTTATCCCCCCTCTCTTATTCCAGAAGGTCTTGGAGTCTCATGGAGGCAGAGGGGTGCAAAAGACACACCTCATTGCCACAAAGGGAGCAGGTCCTGGAAGCTAACTTCCTATTTCTGAGATGAAATATAAAACATGTGTTGAGGATATTCATCAGGAAATCATGGTTTTGAGGTCATGAAAGATGATAAAGACCTACCGCAGCACTCCATTTTAAATTCCGGACAATACTCACCTCTGGGTATGGCATAAGCTAGTAGGGCCCCAGAGAAAACTGCCTGTATTCAATCATGCTTCTGGACAACAAATTGAAATCATAAAATAAAATAAACAAAAAAGAAATAATAAATCTAGCAAAGAACTAGTCTGAGTAGAAAAGAAAGAAGGGAAGGAAGGAAGGAGGGAGGAAGGGAGGGAAGGAAGGAAGGAAGGAAGGAAGGAAGGAAGGAAGGAAGGAAGGAAGGAAGGAAGGAAGGAAGGAAGGAAAAGAAACAAAGAAAGACCTAGCTTTATTGGTCAGGACTGTCAAAGCTATTTGCTTATGTAGAGCTGAGTGTCTCCATCTTTACATAACTAGTGTAACATTGATCAACTAGCTCTCATGAAATAAACGTGAAGCATATTTTACTGTGAATGAGGTCACAAGGAGAGCCAATACACAGGGGTACGCACGGCACACAGATATAAAGGTCAGCTTCTCAGGGCAACGATTCTAAGGCTGCCCCAGCTGTGGCCACAGGATCAAGCTCTTCCCCTCAACCCCAGGGTGCATATGTTCAATTATTGCTACTTGGGCCTCACAGTTTCTGGACATCACTTCTCTACTCCAGTTTTGCTTACTCTCATTTCAACCAGTGCTCTACACTCACAACCATATTCTGGTCCTTGTCATCATGGAGAACTGCTTCCTCTCTGAAATGTCAACTGTGAATTTCCCACTCTGACTACCAGTTACATCTTTCTACTTTGTCACTCACCCTCTTCTATTACCATATCTGCATTCATCCACTCCGTTAAAGCTTCCAGTTATTTGGTCCTGCTACGTATCTTCCCATTTCGGTCTATGCTTTCTTCCCTCCAGCTTGGACCTCATGACCTTCATGTCAATGCCTCCCTGTTCCCATGGTTTTCAACCACATTTCAGACAGACTCTGAACCCCCAATCTCTCCAAGTTTTCACTTTTTTTTTCTCCTACTCACAAAGCTTCTTTGGTCCTACTACCAAAAGTCAAAACATTTTTTGGGAAAATAATCACCAAATTGTGTGCATTGGTCCCAATATACAGTCATGTAGTCATGAATTCTTGCCTCCACTGGGTCTCACACATGACATGTCCTTAGTCATACCTCTTTCATTCACTCGACATCCATTCCCAGCCTACATCCTCCTCTACAAGGTCCTACCCGGAATTCACTCCTTTCTCAGGAGATGGGTGTGTCTACTTCATGGGCACATTAGAGAACATACGAGGCTGTATGTTCTCTGTTTCCTGTTCCTCCCACCAAGACTTTTATCTGTATTTATCCCATTACTTGCCTCTCTTCCTCTCATTTCAATGGAGAAAGTGTGCCTCCTTTCAACCAATTTTCTATCTGCCTCCCAGATTCTATCTATTTGTCTTCTTAGGAGCCTTGTTTTGTATCTCTTATCTCTCCAGATTTTTTAAAGTTGACATCGGTTGACCACTTCCATATGCTGTATCAGACACTCCGCTACAAACCTGGCTTACTTTATTTCATATAAATTCTGTAACAGTGCTGTAGAAGAGGTACCACTTACTTGCATTGATTCATTCTCTCTCTTTCTCTCTCTCTCTCTCTCTCTCTCTCTCTTTCTCTCTCTCTCTCTCTCAGCCACATAAATGTTGCTCAGCTCTTAACAAAACTTTCCCTTGATCCTGTCTTGTCTTCTATAATAGCTTTAACCCTACACCCCTGCTTCCCTTTACTGCCAAGCTTCTTGAAAGTAAAACCTCCACATTATCTCTCCTTCTTCATCTCCTCCTCACTCCTCAAGCCTTTTCCACCAAGACTGCACTGACTGATTGTGAAATAAGAACCTGCTGAACGTGAAATCCAGTGGATGCTTTTCAGTGTCTTTCTCACTTGCTATCCCACCTATTACAAGTGGGTAAGCCCTGCTTTCAGCATCCTTGTTCCCCAACTTCCATAAAAATACATTTCCCTGATGTTCTTATCACTTTGCAATCTTCTCAACCTGTCCTTGAGTGACTGTTCCCTGAGTTCATCCCTTAAATGTGTGTGTTCCCCAGGGCTCTGTCCTCATTCTCTTTTCTGAGTGATCTCATTTATTCCCACACTTCCAACTCTCTCATACAAACCAGCAATGTCTAGACTTATGTCTCAGTCCAAGTCTCTACCCTGAGATTCACTGTTATCCAAGGGCCCCCCCGGGTAGCAACACTTAGGTATTCCCAAACTAAAATCATCCTTGTCAATCTCAAATCCAAGGTTCCCTAACTTGGTTGTAGTCAGTGCTCATATCACCATGTAACCAAGACAAACCAGGTAGCCATCTCTCCTTGAGTCCCAAAATCCTCCACTTGGTCACAGAGAATGACTTGTAAAATTGTTTGCTTTTACCACATATTAGACAATTTCAAAAGGTTGGATTTTATATGGTGTTTGGTCTTTAGACATTATATTTATAGCATTTACGTTGCCATCAACCCTTTAGTGAATATGTTTAATAAAACATTTCAAAAATTCATTGTATGACGTTATAACTTTAGCATGGTCAGCCCAGGAAAGAAACAGCTTACTTCATCAGGGATAAGAAGAGGAAAATGTCTTTTGTTCTCTTATTGTCATGGCAGGGGTTGACTGTTATCTGTGTCTCTTGTCAGCTAGCTGCCCATCTGTACTGAAGGCTCTGCTAAGCTTTTGCCAATTTATGATGACTCATTTTCTTTTTGAAATAACATATAGAGATTTTACTCCCTGAAACAGCACCCATATATTTTTCTCTGCAAGTCTCTGGTTCTGCCTGCTTACTGTGTTCCAAATTATTTCTAATACCCACCCAGATATGAAAATCAAACGGACTGGCAAAAGGGAACGCTATGAGAGATTTAATCATATTTACCTTCTAATCCTTTTATTATCATCGGGCATGTCGATATCCGGGTTGAAATGGTAATGAAGGAGCTCGGTACCAAAGAGATCATAGTCCAAGTAACAGCCAAGTTGAGCAAACTCCAGTAGTTCCTCCTTATCAAGTATCGTCCTAGAGACAATAAGACATGACGTATGGTTATTATCGAAAGCCTATTTTCCACACACACAGATTAAAAGTTTTAAACACATTATGTACTGAAACATAGTTTAAGTAACAGAACTTTTGAATTGGCTCTTATGATATGACTAAAAAATATAATTTTACTATGTTACCCGAAATGAGAGACTTTACCCATCCAAAAGGGAATTTCCCCTTCCAAAGTACTTGGGAACTATAAACATTTTAATTATGCTACCATTACTCAAAAACAACTTGGTAATTCTCCTACAGGATTTTCTTCAGGATATGGTCCATATGAGTTTGAAAATCCTCAGTGGGACTGCTGTGAACTGTGGAAACCATCAAAGGAATCGGGCGTGGGGCGTGGTGAATTAGGTGAGTACTAGTAACCTGGGACCTGGGTAAAACCTGAAGCTAAGGTAAGTCATAGGGTCCGTTCTTGTGGAGATCATGATGTGGTTCTAAAATTCATTTCAAAGTCTGTGTGAATATCATTGCAACCTTTTAAAAAGGGGCAATAACTCCTACCGATATTAATATTTATGTTCCGGTGTGCTTTTTTTTTTTTTTAAATACAGTGTGTTACTTTACAATGCTTTTTGTGGATATCTTCTCATTTCAATAGAGGTCAGAGTGAGAATGTCACTACTTATGACTATGTAAGACTATGTAAATGAATGGGAAAGGAGAAAAATATAAGCATATAGAGAGTAAACAGACAGAGGAGTAGAGTCTGGAGCAAGGCTAGATGATCTTAAGAAATTTTGATTATAACAAATAAAAAGGGATGCATTAAGCTAAACCCCAAAATACCATGGTAGAAATAAGAAAGAGAAAAAAATACACTCTACCAAAAGACAACAAATATGGAAACTACGTGAGGGGAAAATATACCCATTAGACATTGTGTAAAGGGAATTAAGGACCTAGAAAAAGGAAGTGATTATTTGGGATCCAAGATTGGTCCAGAGGAGAGTTGGAATGTCAGACAATCATTGTCTCATTCGGGTTGAATTTACTCTAATATACTATCACTTTGGCAGCTCCATGATATAAGGATTAAAGCACTATTTTATGTCTCTAAATCTGGTTCTAGGAGGCCAGAAGTATTTGCAAAGCCTTTCTTCCCAGCCATAGGAAGACCAACTAAGCCTCTGTGTGTCATGAGTGGAGGAGGTTTCTGTTGTCTCGAAATGCTTTCCGGGAGTTCACTATTGACTTTCACTCCAAGCAATCACATTGTAGCTGGCTCCTTTTTATTCTAGTCACCAATTTAGCATAACTTATAGCTCACAATGTTATTTTAGGCAGGGAAGCTAAAATATCTTTCCTTGCTACTATAAAATATACATTAGTTCTGTGCTATCTTCTATTAATACTACTCCTTTTCCATCTTCTTACCATGGAGACCATCTTTTGCCTCCAAAATTTCTAGGCTACAAGTTTATGTGTTTCTCTACTTGTATAGTAAACATATTCTGTTTTCCCCAGTGAGCCATACTTAAAAACAAAATTTACACAATTAAAATAACAGAAGGAGGAAGAGATGAGTTTTAGTATTTTCCTTTTTCAGTCTGTTAATTACCAATATAAGCAAGATACTGGCAGGTGGGGTGGGAAGCCAAGAAGAGGAATGGAGGTACTAACAACAGGTTGGATTAGACTCTTATTTCTGCTCCTAATACCTGTTTCCTTCAAGGCCTAAAGCTTTGAGGCTAATTTTCTAAACTTTAAGTGATCTATCAAGGAATATATTCAATAAAACATACATGGTAAATGAAAACCCATAGGAAAATCTTTAGTCTCAGATCCAACTGAAAACAATAAGTAAAGTTGCTTATCATAATAACTGAAAATTATAAGACCTTACTGTGTATCTGGCATCTTTATTATCTTACTTAATATTCCCACAATCCCATCACATTGTGACTTTACAGATAAGGAAACTGGGACTTAAGAGGTTAGATATTCCAGGTGATCTGCTGAAGTATAACTTCATTTCAAGGCTAGAATCTACTCTCTTAACTATCATACACTATGACTTCTCCTTTCACTTAATATTTTGTACCCCAAAGTTATTTTTCAAAATTGTATTGACTGTGCACATCGTGTTTTTTAAATTTTTACTTTGAAATTTAATTCCTTCCCCATACAGTACCCTCAAACTGCACTTAAAAAATGGGAATTTACCATCAAAGGGGGTGATAAGCCCCCAAAGTAAGAAAGGGTTACTCGTTCAGAGAGTAGCCATTGGTTACTTCAGACAATTCGAATGACATTGTCAAAGGAGAAGGAACTATATTAATCATGTCCCTTGCTTGCTTTCTTACTAGAAGGCTGACATTGCTCTAAGCCTCTTACAGATAATAAGGGGGTACATATTAACTGTCTTCTACCACCAGATTAGACCTCTCTCCTGAAACCCAGGCTTGAGTGTCTCATTGCCTGCTGGTCATCTCCACGTGGATGTCTAATAAGCAGCTTAATTTTAACATGTCTCAAATTAAACCCCTCATCTACCACCCTAAACCAGCCTCTCCACTACCCTTCCCTATCTCATTTGATGGCAATTTCCATCCATCCAGTTGCCTGGGCCCTGAGCCTTGTAATCATCCTTGACTGCTTGCCTTCTTTCATACTTCACATCTAGCACCAGGATAGACTTTTGGCTTGACTTTCAAAATATGAGCAGAATCCAGAGAGGCCACCACCTCCCTGCTACCCTCCTGGTCCAAATCAACATCATCTCATGCAGGATCCCTGCAATAGATTGCCAACTCTTCTCCGTTCTTCTACATTCCTTCTACTACAGTCTATTCAAATACAGCAACCAAAGTCTATCTTCATACCTAAGTCAGATCAGGTCTTTCCTCTGCTCAGAACCCACCAATGGCTTTCCATTTCCCTCAGAGATAAAGCCAAGGACTTAGAGTGGCCCACGAGGCCATGCATGGTCTCTTTGGAGATGGTCTTACAACAGCCTTATCTATAGAGGAATGGGGCATACATAGGGATCCAAATCTCCAGATGTCAATTATATATAAATGCTACTTAATTATCAGCATTATCTGAAGAACATCACCACAGGTAGAGGTATCTTTCTAGAGGAAGACTAACATTGTCCATAAGATTTATGTACACCTATAAGTTTCAAGAGTAATCCCTGAGAATTCTTATCTTGTAGAACAGCATATAGAAAGGAATGTGACTTTGAGGGAAATGGCCCCTCTGTAAAACACTTAAAAATTTTACAGCCACATGTAGGGGAGAAGAATTCTTAAGAAGAGAAGTAATTATGCTGCTATTTTGGACATTAGGAAAATGCAGTTAAAAAAAGGAGGCAGACAAATTTACTATCATTATGAATACATTACACACACACACACACACACACACGTATGTCTATACACATAAATATATATTATTATTTTTTACTGACATTTAGGCATATGACAGACACCCTCTGGATAATTGAACATTCGTGTGTAGGAAATGAAGAAATAAATTCACTTAAATTCTCCATACTGAAATACAAAATCCATGGGGAGAAAATAGTGATCATGCATATTTTTCATAGAAAGGTCCTGAAAAAAATAGAATTTGGTATTAGATGTTAACAAAGGGTAGGAGGGGAGAAGCAGGTGAAGCAAGACTAATAAACGATTTATCATCAGGTATTGAAAGCAGCGCTCTCCCATTTCATCCTTCCAAACACTATATGAGGACAGTATGATCAGCCCCATTTTATAGATGAGGAAACTCTCAGAAAAGATAAGTAACTCAGCTTCCGAAGTGAGGTGTTGTGAATAAACCCAGGCTGCGTTTGTCTTCAGAAGCCATGCTTAGACCCTGTGGCCCCTTCTGTGATGAGAGGATTCACTCAGCCACCCACGGTCACTCCATTTCTTCTCACCAGCCCTTACCCATGAAGAAATCCACCCCATTATAAAGACATCTCAGAGCACCCTGCACCATGAATGTCTAACAAGGTGACTTAACCACATTAAACTGACATTCAGTTGGATGACTTCCAGGGACTGTCAAGGTGCTACTGAAGTTGCATTTCTGCAAGTGACTTTTTTTTCACTTGGAAGAAAGATTGACCCCAGATGTCAGAATGGTCCCATGGGAAAATGTACTCTGCTTGACGTCTTTCAGATAAGGATTAAACAGAGGTCCTGCCCCTCCCAGGCACCAATGATCTCATAGCACCTTCTCATATGAGGGGAGGTGTCAATCTCAGCTAGTTCTGCTCATTCAATATGCTTTATCCCTAATAATTATATGCTTTCTTATTCCAATCTTCCCCAGCCTTTAAGGTAAGTATTTTTCACCTCTTGCCCTAAACCATCAGTGAGGTGATTGTGAGATGCAAAAGAGCTATTGCATTTCACACTGGAGACAAGTTCCTTCTTCAAGGTGGATGAAGTGATCACAATGTCATTTGTAAAATATCCTGGGATTTTCCAGAAAGAAGAGAGATTTTTCTATCAAGTATTTGTTCTTATCATTCATATTATTTCTTCTGTTGTGTGTTTTACAATTTTGCTCCTCATCTAATACGCAAATTGTGTCTATATGAAGACCAGGCATACATTTATGACAAACATACTGCCATTAGCTAAGAAAATGGGGTCAAAAGTGATTTGGCTCTCTTAGTTTTCAGAATATGGTTATCAGTTCCTAGTGTTTTAAGGCTGGCATGAAAAGTCAGGACTGTTGATTCTCTTTTTCATACCTCTTTATATTCTAGATCTTATCCAAGTGCTAAGGGGTTTAGTTTAATGTCAAACTGCACTCAGAGTGAGAGCAAGGAAGTCTGTATGAAGTGATAATTTAGACAAGGGTCTGTGGGCTACTGAGGTAGAAAGAACTAAGGAGCAGAGGAAAGGAAGTGATTCGTGGGTGGGACCAAGAGGATCACAATGCCTTACATCTGTCTTGGGCTTTACAGTTTTTAAGACCTCTCAAATACATTATTTCATTTC